GAATCTTATTGCGTCTACATTCATTAGAGATATTGGTCTGAGGTAGTTCTTTGATGTGTCTTTGCCTGGATTCAGAAACCCAGTGATATTGGCCTCACAGAATGTATTGGAAGTGCTCCCTCTTTTTCTGTTTCATGAAATAGTTTGAGAAGTATTGGTGTTAGTTCTTCTTTAAAGCTGATGAATACACATCACCTGTGTATCCATCTGGTCCTGGGCTTTTCTTGGTTGGTAGGCTTCTGATGTCATCCTTATTTTCTTGCTTGAAATTGATCTGTTTAAGTTGTATATGTCATCCTGATTCAAGTTGGGCAAATTCAATTTGGGCCTCTAGAAATTTGTCGATGCCTTCGATATTTTCTATTTTTATTAGAATACAAAGTATCTTTCTCTTTTTTTTTTTAAGAAAGAGAGAATTTTTTGATATTTATTTATTTATTTTTTACTTTTCGGCGGACACAACATCTTTGTTTGTATGTGGTGCTGAGGATCAAACCCAGGCTGCACGCATGCCAGGTGAGCATGCTACCGCTTGAGCCACATCCACAGCCCCTAGAGTACAAAGTTTCAAAATAATTTCTAATTATCTTCTGTATTTGTGTAGTGTCCGTCATAATATTTCCTTTTTCAATCATGGATGTTAGGAATTTGAATTTTCTCTTTCCTTCTCTTTGTTAGCGTGGCTAATGGTCTATCAATTTTATTTATTTTTTCAAAGTACCAATTTTGTTTTATTAATTATTTTCATTTGTTTCTTTTGTCAATTTCATTGATTTCAACTCTGATTTTAATTATTTCCTGCCTTCTACTGTTTTTGGTGTTGATTCATTTTTCTTTTTCTTTTTATTTGAGATGTAATGTTAGGTCATTTATTTGTTGACTTTTTCTTCTTTGAAGGAATGAACTCCATTGTGGGAGACCAATCTCATGCTAAATGATGTGGCGTCAGCCACCCATGCTGCTAGACTGTCCCGTTCTTCTAGGGTTTGAGTGACTGTGTCTTGCTACAGCCCCATGGGTGAAGCTATGCTCACCTGTTCCTATGTAATATAACCCCTTGCCCTGTTTAGGGGAGAATGTTCCATGGAAGTGCCTTGTGTGTGTCCCCTCTTCTTACTGTGCCCTTGGGTGTGGCCTACCCAGGTGTCAGTCAACAGAAAGTGTATTCTGTCATTGATGGATAATATACTCTATGTATGTCAGTTAAGTCTAAGTTACTGACTATATTATTGAGTTCTTTAGTTTCTTTGTTCAGCTTTTGTTTTGAAGATCTGTCCAGTGGTGAAAGAGGAGTGTTAAAGTCACCCAGAATTATTGTGTTGTGGTCTATTTGACTATTGAACTTGAGAAGAGTTTTGTTTTTTTTTTTTTTGATGGACTTAGATGCTCCATTATCTGGGGCATATATATTTATAACTGTTATATCTTGTTGATGGTTGGTTCCCTTGAGCACTATAAAATGTGCATCTTTATCCCTTTTGATTAACTTTGGGTTGAAGGCTACTTTATTTGATAGGAGGATGGAAACACCTGCTTGCTTACGTAGGCCATGTGAATGGTAGTGCTGCGCCCCTCCCCTGACTCAGGCAAAAGCAAGGCCCTACTGAGGTGGATGGTGCAAGGTGTCCATCCTCTGGAGGAGCGCAGCATGTTTCTGGGAATGGGATGGTTTGTTTCTGCACTTCTGTTCATAAGTATAATTGTAACTTCTCATAGACCATTAAGCATGAAGGAAAAAACATGATTTTCCCAATTGATGCAACTACTTCTAAGAATAAATCTGTTTGCTCTAAATGCAATGATTCAGCTGTGAAACGTAAATTGTTAATGTTTAATTTAAAAAAAACCTGTAGGAAAAACAGTCAAGGAAGTTTTTGAGAAATTAAATTAAAATCTAGAGAAGAAAAATTAATTAAGAAGACAGATTAGTGTTTGGTACTGGGCAACTTGTTCTTGTTCCTGTGCACAATGGTTTGATGCTCTTACGCTTATTTTATTAAAATTAGTAGCCTTTCTTTTCAAGTTAACCACTTGCCATAACCGAGGCGCCGGTTCTAGTCAGTAAGTCAAGAAAGAATAGTCAAGGTATAGGCCAATAGTCTGGGACATTTCTAACTATTATTAAAAGTTAACTAAGTGGAAACAGCTCAAAGCAAAACACGAACTGAAAGTAAAAATGCTTGCTTATACATAAGCCAAGATACATTTTTTAATCTAATTGTAAATATGTAAAATTTTGTTTCCTTGAGTAATGTTTCCTATTTTGTAACCACAAAATACCGTGAGCCTGCCAAAATGAAAAGTATATATGTTTAACTTCACAAGTAAAGAATCAGATTCAGCACCTTCACTTTTGTGCCTGTGTTATTTTTCCGCTGCCTTTTGCCGACCCCTCACCATTCTTTGGTCTCCTGAGACCTCCTGCTGGAGCTGGACTCCAACAGGTATGTTTTATCCCAACCTTTCACCTTTGGTCTGTGGGTGTCTCTTCCTATGAGATGCGTTTCTTGAAGGCAGCATATTGTTGGATCTTTTTTAATCCAATCTACCAGTCTATATGTCTTTTGGTTTTTTATTTTATTTTTTACATGTACTTTGTTATCTTTTCTTTTCTTTGCATTACAATTCTTATTACACATATATACCGCAGTTTTTCATATCTCTGTTTGTGTATAAAATATGTTGACACCCAGTTCGGTTTTCATACATGTACTTTGGATAATGATGTCCATCACATTCCTCCGTCCCTGCTAGTCCCCTGCCCCCTCCCTTTTCCTCCCACCCCTCTGCCCTATCTAGAATTCATCTATTCCTCCCATGCTCCCCCTCCCTACCCCACTATGAGTCAGCCTCCTTATATCAGAGAAAACATTCAGCATTTTTTCGGGGGGGGGGGATTGGCTAACTTCACTTAGCATTGTCTTCTCCAACACCATCCATTTACCTGCAAATGCCATGATTTTATTCTCTTCAGTCTGTCTTTTGATTGATGAGTTTAGGCCATTAACATTCAGGGTTATTGTTGAGACATGATATGTATTACCAGTCATTTTTGTTTATTTCTGGTAATTAGCTTGACTTGGTTTCTCATTTGATTGGCTTTTCTTTTACTCTAGTTCTTCCCTTTGCAGATTTTCATTGTTGTTTTTCATTTCCTATTGTGGCGTATTTTGCCAAGAATGTTCTGTAGTGCAGGCTTTATTGCTGCAAATTATTTTAGCTTTTGTTTATCATGGAAGGTTTTTATTTTATATTCTTGGTTGGTATCCATTGTCTTTTAGAGCTTGATATATGTTGTTCCAGGATCCCCTGGCTTTGAGAGTCTGGGTTAAAAAATCTGCTGAGATCTGAATTGGTCTTCCCTTATAGGTAAACTATTTTTTTTCTCTTGCAGCCTTTAAAATTCTGTCCTTGGGCTGTATACTGGGCATTTTGATTATAACATGTCTTGGTGTAGATCTGTTGTAATTGTGTACATTTGGTGTCCTCTAGGCCTCTTGTATTTGATTTCCTAATTCATTCTTCACGATTAGGAAATTTTCTTATATTATTTCTTTTTTTAATATTTCTTTTTTAGTTTTCGGTGGATACAACATCTTTATTTTACTTTTTTTTTTTATGTGGTGCTGAGGATCAAACCCAGTGCCCCGCGCATGCCAGGCGAGCGTGCTACCCCACTACCACTTGAGCCACATCCCCACCCTTCTTATATTATTTCATTGACGAGATTGTGCAGTCCTTTGGTTTGAATCTATCCTAATAAATCTTAAATTTGTTTCAAGATTGTATATTTTGTCTTCATTGTGTGAGGTCCTATCTTCCAAGTGATCTAATCTGTTGGTGATGCTATCTATTAAATTTTTTAATTGGTTTATTGTTTCTTTCATTTTGAGGATTCCTGTTTGGCTTTTTTTCAGAATCTTTCTCTCCTTCTTGAAGTAATCTCTTGCAACCTGTATTTGCTCTCTTGTCTCTTTGTTGGAGTGATCTATTTTTGTCTGTATCTGCCCACATAGGTCATTCTTTAATTCCCAAATCTGAACTCCTTGTCTGACATTTCACCTACTGTGCTATCTATGGATTCTATTGTTGAGGTGTCTTGTTTGTTGGGGGCACTTTCCTCCCTTGTTTTTTCATGATGTCTTTGAGTCTTTGTCTCTTGCAGTGTAGATCTGAGGTATTATAGCTTCTGCCCTATTGTCTTCTAGTGTGCCTACAGGTTACCAATTCCTCACTTTTAAGGGAGAGATCAATATTACAGTTGCATGCCCAACATGCAACCATATATCAGTTAGCTTCTGTTTTTACATTTACAGTTTTGTTACCATAATCAGAAATGATGAGTTTGTTATCTTCTACCATGTAGTCAATAGGTTTGTGAAATGCTTTACAGTTTCTGATGGCAGAAGGGGTGTGGAGGGTTGACTGAGATGTTTATGAGGTAGGATGTGGAATATGGAGGTATTAGATTATATGACTAGTGAGAGGGTCATCATAGGAAGTTGGCTGTTAGGAGGAGAAATGAGAGAGGCAACCCCATGCAAGACTCCCTGTTACCTCAGCAACAGGATAGCTGTTAGTACCCCTGGTAGAGAAACCTCTGGTGCGGCCATGCCCACGGGGACCTTGGTGACGTCTTACTGGGTCCTTATTATTGTCCCTTGATAGAAGCAGCGATATCCTAGTTTCGTGGTGGTGGTAGCCTCAAGCCTATATGTACCCTGATATTGGGCTGTGGAGCCACACTTTGGTGAATAAGGAACCCTAGTGTGAGGTGGCTCTCTTCCCGGGCAGGGTGGGAGGGTGGGGGGGGGGCTCTCCAGATCTCCAGGCCACGATGTCTGGAAGGTTTTTTTGTTTGTTTGTTTGTTTTTTTAAGTATACTGATTCCAAGTTTGGTTCATTTATATGCAACCCACCAAGGTGTATGATGCCTACCTTCTATGTTTTATGGTTTGGGGATCCAATTTTTTGTTTTGTCCATTCATGATCAAACTTAGGGTACATCTGGGCAGGTGCTGAGGTGGTGTGCATTGAAAATCCCCATTGAGAGGAGGCACAAGAGCTTCGCATGCAAATGACCAGCACATCTGGATTGGAAGGACTGTGACTGTGGAGGACAGAGTGTCAGTGGAGCCCATATTTTCTCCTGACCATTCATCTCTAAGCCGTCCTGCTATTCCAGAAAGGACACAGATGGCAGTGCTCCCAAACTCCCTCCCCAGGTGTCTGCTCACCATCGTGCTCCTGCTGCTGACCTGCTGACTCAGGTAGGTCTTCCTTCCATACCTGCTCTCCCTTGCACCTCTGGCCTGCTGGGTTGAAATGTTTGTACAGATGTCAACGATCCCAGAGGTTCTTCCCAGTTACCCCCCACTGGGACGCAGCCAGAGGAATGGTAAGAGGGAGTCGGTCCTTTCAGTCTGTGATTTCCACCTCTCATATCCCGCAGGTCCTGCTCATTCTCTAGCAGGTCACTTTGAAGTGCTTGGACCTCAGGAGCCCATCCTGGTTTTCGTAGGTGAGGACTCTGAGCTTCGTTGTCACCTGACCTCTGGCTGAATGCCGAGCACATGGAGCTGTGGTGGTTCCGGAACACCTTCTCACTTGCCATGTTGGTGCTCCAGGATGGGCGGGAGCAGGAGGGAGAGCAGAGGTCCGAGTACCGTGGGACACATGGCCCTGCAGATACACCGCATCAGGACCTCTGATGAAGGGGTGTATGAGTGCTCCTTCAGAGACAAGCAAGCCCAGGGAGAAGCCTTCATGAATCTGAAAGTAGCTGGTGAGTAGACAGGCTCTGAGTGCTTCGGTGACGCCACTCTGTAAATAATTTAAACTATCTTAATGAGATCTGGGTCTCATTGTCCATGCTAGCAACAGTGTGTGTCGCCCATGTGCTTAATGTGTAGTGAAGAAGGATCATCTTGACAACTGCTTCTAAAACCTACAGGATGAAACTGTTCTTTTTTAAGTCACAGGCCTAATTTTATCTTTTTGTTGTTGCCAGGGATTGAGCCCAGGAGCACTTAACCATTGAGCCACACCCCCAGCCCTTTTCATTTTTATTTTGAGACAAGGCCTCCTAAATTGTTGAGGCTGGCTTTGAACTTGCTATCCTCCTGCCTTAGTTTCCCAGGTTGCTGGTGTTGACTCTCTTGACAGAGAAATACACATTCTTACATATACTTTACATTTGAGTAAGTGCCTCTTGAATGGCTTTGCTGTTAACTCTGTAGTGTTTTCTCTGCCCTCTAGAGAATCAGAGAAGCCCTGGAACATCACAGCAAAGGGAGTCTCCTGCCCGGTTCCCAGTTCTTCTCCCACAGACATCCAGAGAAGAGCTCAGGAAGCGGTTTTCCCTTCCCCACCAGGCCGCCCTCGGGAGCAGCCCTGTTCTGCCTCCTCTCAGCTTTCTCTTCCAGCAGCAAAACTCCCTTCTCTCCGCCAGAACTGCCCGATTAGGCCACTTGCCCACCTTGGGCTGTTCTTGCTGCTCCCTCTGCCTGGAAGAGCTGTTCTGGTGTTTTTCCGTCCAGCTGTCCACGTTTCAGCAGCTGCCTCAAATGACCATCATCCCCAGGGGCAGACTTGTGTCTGATTCCAAGGTGGCCTCTTTCTTAAGAGGTTTGTGAAATGATCTTTGTTTGTTTTTCAGCACTGGGGATCAAACCAGCTGTGTGCCTTTGAGGCAAGTGCTTTGCCACTGAGCTACTTTCCAAGCCCTGAAGTGCCATTTTATATTGATACCTCAGGCCCTTTGAAATGATGAGTTGTGCTGTACCCACTTCTGGATTTCTCGGGTAACTGTTTCTCCTTATAAACACTGGAGTCCTGGGATTGTGAGTTTGCAGCAGGTACCACTGAGAGATTAAGCCCACTTCTCCCTCCTCAGCTCTGAACTCCAAGCCTCACATCACCATGGAAGTTCAGGAGAGTGGAGAGGTCCAGCTGGAGTGCACCTCCGTGGGGTGGTACCCAGAGCCCCAGGTGCAGTGGAGATCTACCAAGGGAGAGGAGTTCCTGGCCACGTCAGAGTCCAGGAGTCCTGACGAGGAAGGCCTGTTCACTGTGGCAGCCTCAGTGACCGTCAGGGACAACTCCATGGCCAGTGTGTCCTGCTGCATCCGGAACCTCCTTCTTGGCCAGGAGAAGGAAGTAGGGATTTCCATTCCAGGTGAGTGGAACCAGTGCTGACTCCTGTGTGGACACAGCCTCAGGGCTCCCTGACCTGGAACCTGCCAGGTGCAATTTTATGGCAGATGTGTCCACTTTCCCACCCTGGGTTGTTCAAAGTCTGCTGCCCAAATATGTGAGGACTTAAGGTATAAATTATATAGATCTGAAGAGATTCCAGCTTTTTACACATAGAAATAGAGTTGGCCCACTATCCGCGGTCTCTGCATCTATGAATTCAATAGATAAGGATAGAAAATGTACAGGAAAATACCTCTGTGTGATCACATACAAACTTTTTCTGTTTTCATCATACAATATAGTACAACATGCTATTTACACAGCATTTACATTCTATTTGGTATTGTAAGTAATCTAGAGATAAAGCATACAGGAGGGTGTGCGTGATCATGTACAAATATTATGCACTTTTCTATAAGGGACTTGAGCTGAGCACCTATGGACCTTGGACTCCACAAGGGATCCTGAAACCAGTCCCTCAAGGACACTGAGGGAGGACATCTTAATTATTTTTAAGCCTTGCAAATGGATGTTGTTCAGTTTTGATGCATAGACCTTTCTTTGGGTAGTCAGAAATCTCACATTATTTTTCTGGTTTTCCAAATGATCCTTGACTCTCACTCTGTTGGGCTTCTGTCAGGGTCCTCAGGGAGGGCAGCCTCATTTATCCCTTAGATACCGTCTCCCGCATAGGCCACGGCTTCTCTTATCTAGGTCACCAGTGCATTCAGTATCTCTCTCTCCGTTTCCCCATTGGTCTTATTTATTTATTTAGGTACTGAGGATTTGACCAGGAGCACTTTACCACTGAGCTACACTTCCTAGCCCTTTTAATTTTTTATTTTGAGACAGAATCTTGAAGTTGCTAAGGCTGGCCTTAAATTTGTTTTTTGTTTTGTTTTGTTTTGTTTAAGAGAGAGAGAGAGAATTTATTTTTTAGTTTTTCGGCAGACACAACATCTTTTGTTTGTATGTGGTTTTGAGGATCAAATCTGGGCTGCATGCATGCCAGGCAAGCGCGCTACTGCTTGAGCCACATCCCCAGCCCTGGCCTTAAATTTGTGACCCTCCTGCCTTGGGCTCCCAAGTCACTGGGATTACAGGTGTGTGCCACCACATCTGAGTTCCTTTGGTTTTTAGCTTGTCTTATTCCTTCATTTCTCCTCCATCCTAGGAATTGGTATTCATCTTCAAAAAGGCTTTATTTATTTTGTGTGTGCATGTGTATGCGCACATGCATATGCACTCCTGGGGAATCCTACCCAGGGCCTCACACAACTGCAAGACACGTGTTCTTCCACCCAGCACACCCCAGCCCAAGAGTGTTTTTTGTATGCTACTTATGCCTTGGCTTGGGGTTCCTAGAGAGCTTCAGGGTGGATTGCTGGTCAAGTTTCGACTTTCAGCCCCACCTCCCACCTCCTGGGAGAGGAGAGGAGCTGAAAGATAAGTTGAGCAGAAGACAAACCTAAAGTTATATAAAGTAGATCCTTGAATAATCTGCATGTAAGGGTAGAGAACAATCAATTATAAAAGCTACAGGAAAATGTGTTCAGGAAAGTGGAATGTTTTAGATGGTATATTTGGAGACATTTCCAGGAGGAGAGGATACTTATCAGGGTCAGAATCACCAAGATTAGTAGTCATCAAGAAAGATGAGAGACAAGGTGCCACTGAACTGAATTAGGAAGGTTATGGAAGAGACAATCCAGGGCAGTTTCAGAGGAAGGGTGGGGAGTCGGCGAGCGCTTGTCATTCATCGGTACTAGGGGCATCTGTCAGTGGTAGGGGCATTTGATCCCCAGCATGCCAAAAGCAAAAGCCAGCACTCTTCCACTCCCAGGATCCCAAGGTTTTATGTCAGGAAACAGACACGGGGCCCGAGGGGGCATTTCACAGTCTCACCCTCTGGCCCCCTTACCTTGGAGAGCCGTCCTGAAGACGTAAATGACTCCTATATGAAGGTGGGTCTTAAAACTGTGCCTGGTTCAGTCTCTGCTGAGGCCCAGTACCATGTCCAGCTTCCTGTTGGCCATCTCACCCCATATCTCCCAGCGTAGCTTGTTTGGTTTGGTTTGGTTTTGGATTGAACTCAGGGTGCTTGTACCCCTGAGCTATGTCTCCATCTATTTTTATTTTGAGATAGGGTTTCGCTAAGTTGCTGAGGCTGTCCTGAAATTTGCCGTCCTCCTGTCTCGGATTCCCTAGCGATTGGGATGACAGGTGTGTGCCAACACCTACTTTTAACTAGTTTTGTTCCACATCTAATTCAGATATACTCCTCCCCTCCTCCCCCTCCCCCTTTTTTAAACATATAAAACTATATGAAAGGAATAGCATTACTCTTAGGTATACAACTTGATGAGTTTTTACATATCACATCTGGTTTTCACTAACTGGAGTTGAACTTTGGCCATTCTCTCATGATTGGAAAGCGTGCCTAATAGTACGTATGTTTTGTTTTGTCTTGTTTTGTTTTGGTCCTGGGGATTGAACTCAGGGGCACTGGACCACTGAGCCACATTCCCAGCCCTATTTTGTATTTTATTTTGAGACAGGGTTTCTCTGAGTTGCTTAGCACCTCACCATTGCTGAGGCTGGTTTGGAACTTGTGATCATCCTGCTGGGATTACAGGCATGTGCTACCCGGCTCTTATGTATGTATGTTTGTTTGTTTTTTAGTTGTAGATGGCACAATTCTTTTATTTTGTTTATTTATTTATTTTTATTGTGGTGCTGAGGATTGAACCCGGGGCCTCACACGTGCCAGACAAGACTTTACCACTGAGCCACCACCCCAGCCCCTATGTATTTTTTTTAAATAAATGTTTTATTGTGAGATCACTTTAGATTCACATTTACATGTAAGAAATAAGACAGACATTTCGTGTACTCTTCACTTAGTTTCTTCCAATAATAACATCTTGTAAAGCTACATACAGTTATCACAGCCAGGATACAGCCATAGGGTGGGTGTTGACAGCACTCCAGGGACCCTGGGTTGTCCTTTGAGAGCCACACCCGCCTCCCTCCCCCAGCACTCCCTTGTGGTCCCCAGCAGCCCCTGACCTCCATTTTCATAACTTGGTCGATTACAAGTGCTGTCTAAGTGGAATCGCTGTGTGTCACCTTTTGAGATTGGCTCTTGCCCTGAGTCTGGTTCCCTGGAGGCCTGGCCAGGTTGCTCCCTGGGTAGTTTGTACCTGTCCATTGGTGGTTTCAGTGTGCCACCATTTGTTCATCAATCTGTCTGTCAAAGCATACCTTGGTTGTTTCTTGCTTTTGGCTAATATTACATACAGCTATAAACATTTGTGTGCAAGGTTTTGAACCCAAGTCTTAATTTCTTTGGGATAAATGCCAAGGTGTGTAATTGCTGGGTTGTTAATTAGTTGGTGTTTAGGTTTTTTTTTTAATAAGAAATGACTGTCATTTCTAGTGTTTTGCCTTTCTGTCAGCAATGTGTCCGTGATCTGTCTCTGCATCTTCACTGATATTTGGAGTTTCCTGTTGTTGTTGTTGTTGTTATTTGTTTGTTTGTTTTTAATATTCTTTAGTTGTTGAGAGACCTTTATGCTGCAGTCTGGCTAGGCACAAATCATGAGCCACTCAAGCAGGAACAAACTTTATTTCTGAACTCCACCAGCACACTCCACACACGCTCCCAGGAACTCTCCCTAATGCCACCCACGTGGCTCTTCCAGGGACACTACACACCCCAACCGGAACTCCCTCCCCGGGCTGCTAGCGCACTAACTCTGGGAACCCCTCGAGAACTCAACGGGAACTCCAAAGTAGCGGGCGCCAGCCCAATGCAGCAAGAGCCATCCTACTACCGGACAGTAAAGGTCTAATATACAATTGAATCAATCCAGCATCATCTTAATGGCTCGCCTCTCAACCATTACTTCTGGCAAAATTCCAGGAGCCATTCCAACTGGGCTGTGGCTCTCAACACCTTTATTTATACACAGTGCCAAGAACCGAACCCATTGCCTCACACATGCCAGGCAAGTGCCTGCGCTACTCTTGAGCCCCAGCCCCGCCCCTCCATGTTTTTTATGTTAGTCATTCTGATACGTGTGTAGTGAAAGCTTGTTGTGCTTTTTAATTTTCATTTTCCTGACTAATGATGCTGAACATCTTTATGTACTTATTTGCCTTATGAATTATCATTTTAGTAATATTTGTTCACATGTTTTCTAATTGGATTGTTCCCTCGCTTGGTTTTTCTGTTAAATTCTGTTATATATTCAACGTGAGCAATTTATCAGATGTGGCTTGCAAATATTTTTTTTAGTCTGTACTTTGCCTTTTCCTTCTTTTACTTTTTTATTTATTCCATCCCTAGTTTTTGAGGAACCTCTAAACTGCTTTGCAGAGTGGCTGCACTAGTCTGCAGTCCCACCAAGAGTGTACAGGAGGACCTTCTTCTGCACCACGGTGCCAGCACTTATTGTAGTTGTGTTCTCGATCATTGCCGTTCTGCCTGGAGTGAGGTGAAATCTTAGTGTAATTTTGATTTGATTTCCCTGATGGCTAGAAGTGTTGAACACCTTTGCATGTATTTGTTGGCCATTTGTGTTTCTTCTTTTGAAAGAAGATTTTCTCTTTAGTTCTTTTGCCCATTTGTGCATTGGGAAATTTGAGAGCGGTTTTGGTGTTAAGTTTTTGAGATCTTTATATATTCTGGATACTAATCCCCTGTGGGAGGAGTAGCTAGCAAAGATTTTTCCCCATCTGTAGACTCTCTATGCTCTTAATGGTTTCTTTAGCTGCGCAGAAGCTTTTTAGTTCAATGGCATCCCACTTATTGATGCTTGGTTTGATTTCTTGTGCTTTCGGGGTCTTTTCTTTCTTCTTGACAAGATATTTCAAAGAATGTAAGTTTTTAGTTTTGAAGTCCAATGTGTATGTATCAATTCATCTTTATATGGATTGTACATCTGGTGTCAAGCTTGTGGATATTCAAGTGCTTGT